ATATAGATAGATATATATAGATAGATATATATATAGATAGATATATATATATAGAGATAGATAGAGATAGATATATATATATAGAGATAGATATAGATAGATATATATATATAGAGATAGATAGAGATAGATATATATATAGAGATAGATATATATAGATAGATAGATATATATAGATAGATAGATAGATATAGATATATATATATATTATTTTGAGAATGGTCAGCTACAGGGACTGTACTGAAAATGAGAGCAAAAGGAGCTTTGAGTTCAACGCCACTCAAAGCCAAAGCAAAAAAAGCAACTGCAATAATGTCTGGCTACCTGGAAGTATAAAGAAATGTAATTTTTGCAAGCAAGAACAAAATGTTTGAAAAACACTTTGTTAGATGATACTTAGAACTACACCTATAATCTATGTAGGTTTGACTATTTCACTAATGTTTTCGATTCAGGTGAGACCACAGCCTGGTCAGCTACACCTCCACACTGAGGTAGTTAGTTCCTTCATTTTGCTTTGACAACTCTTTTACATCATTCTTATCCTAGAACTCCTTGCTGCTGAGTGGATCCTCGGAATGCTTATGAATATGGGTCATGTACCCTTCTGTAAGCAGGCTTACAAAAGTTAAATAAGAGGCTTCCTTCTGACTGTGTTGTCTGAAGGACTTCCTTGAAGCATGCTTCGTCAGAAAGCATTAATCTCCAAAAACAAAAGTTAAGTCAGGCCTAGATTTTGCATCATGTTAAATGAGAACAACTGTACTTACATAATAAGCCTCGGCTTCCCTCTCAGTAACCTCATCCTGGTTCAGAGTGAAGCAGGTGGGTATCCGGCCGAACCAAACGTCTCTCAACACGTCCTTGTCATCTGCCATGCTGCTGCTCCCAGTGGCACATAAAGAATGAATTCCCCAAACAGATGCCTGCTTCAGAAGAGATAAAACCGTCCTACTGTCAGCAAAAGATCGGAGCATGGCTAACAAGCAAACACTGACAAAACTTTCAGCATCCAAACGCTGAACCTCAGTTCAATAACCAGTGCAAGTTAAGCTAGCACCACGTTGGCGCACTTCAGGTTTGAGTAACTTAGATATCTCTTAAGTAAATTGCCAGTGAAGTTATTTCTAGGTTACAGTTCAGTGATAGGTCGCTACCTATCTCTTAGACCTCCAAAGGAACTCCAAAATTGTCGAACTACGCAGCTGTAGAGCAAAAACTGATGTTAGCTCGAGGGCTAAGTAGGCTAACTTACCCAATGGAAACATAATAAAGAAATGTTTAAAGTCCAATTACAAAGGTACTGATAATATTTCCCACAGACAGACATTCTTACACTGTGAGAAGGAGATGGGGGAGCCTTACTTTTTAGTCGATATTTTGTAGATATATTGAATGGAAAAGGGGCCTATGTTGTCATTCCCCCGCTGACACCGGAAAAACAGCAAAAATATCCAATTTCCCGCAAAACAGCGACCACTGGCGACCGCTATTCTTACTAAACCAACTACAGAAATATACCAAATGATCTGCAATTTTACGTTGAAAAAGACACTAAAATTTTAAAAATAAATATTAAATGCTTAAAGTATATTAAAGCGTTGTAGGTTTTGCATCCATCCCCCACCAAATAGCCGAGTGGTAAAGAGAACCGGGGGCGACGCATCATCAGTATGCGACGGCCCTTCTCAACTACGTAGCTCTCCTCCGCCTGTTTGGGATCTGTTGTGTTCATCGGCAGCTCCGGGAATGGATAAAACAACTGAGATGGATAACCTGGAAATGCGTCTCCGGGCGCTAGAGAGTCGTATATATGGCGAGAGAAAGAACAAGAGTGGAAAACCTGTAAAGGTTCGCTTATATTATGTATATCTGTATATATGCTAGTTGTTAGCTTTGCGGAGCTAACGTTGGTTGTGAGTAAACGCCCTTTTTTAATTTATACACTAGAATGTCTGTGAAGGTTCTCAGTCATCCAGGTCATCGTAGTCAAAGGAGCTTGCAAAAAAAAAGAAGCTCCTTTGACTATACACTAGAATGTTAGCAGAAGTTGTTTTAGTTGTTCAATTTAGTTTCGCACAAATATGAGAAACTTACTTTCCTGCCCATCAGGAAGCTATTCCTTTATTTTCATAACTGTTGGTTATTTAGCTTTCATCTGTTTACATTAAAAAAGCTGTGCGTTGTAACCTGGTTTTTGTGGCGCTGTGCTTTTGTGTCTGTTCAACTTAATCATAATCAACAATACAATAGTCTGACACGGTTAAACGAAGAAACCTCGGCTAGCTAGTGATGAGATGCTTTTTGAGGCGAGGGGACTCAGCAGGGTATCATGTGATCTGGAAAAAACACTCTGGCTTACAAAGAGGCATTTAAGTTGGTTTGTTTTCCACTAGATTTTGTCATTCCAAAGGTGGAGATAGTGCTACAGTGTGCTGTTAGGCTTAATTTACTTTAAATTCAAAGATTTAAGAGTATTATTGCCATCTCAACACATGAGGTAGCATAAGAGGGAACAAAACTAAGGAATGAGGTTCCTGTGAGCTAAACGACTAAACAGTAATACGATTTAAAATGCTTTCTAAATTTAGAAAAACAAAAGGTATCATATATCTACTGGAGAGAAGGAGAATGAAAGTCATAGGAAGCATGACAGAATGCATGTATGTGAATAAGGAGACAGGTGTCATAGGGAAGAGCAGGGGTAGTGAAGATGGACGAATTTACCCATGGTTTAGCCATCCAAAGTAACAGACATTGCACAAGAGAGGTGAAGAAGAGAATGCCTGCTTTTTCTGGTCCTGATGCTGCACAGCCTGTGACATGAGATGTAATACTTCTTTCCAATGGTCATCTGTGGAAACCATTATCCAATATGTACTGCAAAAAGCCAAATAAGACCTTAAATGTAGTAATATACAGACTAGGGCTGCCACGATTAGTCGACTAGTCACGATTATGTCGACTATCAAAATCATCAACGACTAATTTAATAGTCCACGCGTCGTGTGAAGCTTTGTAAGATCCCAAAAGACACAGGAATAAGTAGGATTTGAGAGTGTAATAACGGGCTGAAACAGAAGCTTGCAGCACTGCATGTACAAGGATGCCAGCTGCCGTTAAACCCCAAAGAAGAAGAAGAAACTGTGTCCCAGAATTCATAGCGCGGCCCTGCTCAGTTTCCAACAATGGCGGCAGCTAGTTAGTTTTAATATTACTCTTATTATTCTTTCTGGGTCACAAAATAAACGTTTAACATATTTTCAGGCGAGAATGTGGGTGTGTAAACTTCAAATATCTGCTCGGTTTATCAAGACAACACATATTTGCAAAAGCGTCCTGACATTTTCGGAGACGTCTGCTATCCACTAGCTCGATAGCTAGCCGGGGGTAGGCTCACTAGAGCCGGTGAGAACACCGGACTCCCGGCAAATCGTTTTCAAACCCACCGCCGTCTTTCGCTACTCAGGTTAAACATGTAATATAAGTCACTTAGATAACTTAAAAATGTTATTGTTTGGCTTTTTTTAGTATTTTATTTGTTCCTGAGTAAATCGGTTTGGCTGAGATTAAAGTTATAGTTTTTACACAACTGAATAAACGTCAAGCAGACAACTGATTATCAGAAGTGTGCGATGCTCCAGAATTTACTCCGGTGTCCTGTTATATTTTAGATAGCAAGGAGCAGACGGTTGAGTTTATTAAACTTCACCGAAACAATCTGCAGATTTCATTAAAATTGAATAAACTATCATCTTGTCTTTATTTTTTAGTTGGCACATACACTTAAAGCTGTAAGCTAATGATGGTTATATAGGAGCAGATGCATGCTGGTGCAATAAGCTGTACCTTGTACGTCCAATGGATGCCTGATCTGATTAGTCAACTAATCGCAAAAATAATCTGTGACTAGTCGACTATCAAAATAATCGTTTGTGGCAGCCCTAATACAGGCAGCATATGTTTAGCCTGCATCGCGCTAATTCTCACATTTCTTTTAGGATAATAAGATTCCAGTCCTCATAAGCATAAGAAGAATTTTTTTTGTAAAATGCCATTATTATTTTTTATTGGTACCTTCTGTATCTCCCAATGTCATATAAACTCTTGCATGTATTTTATGTGCTAGCATACTCCCCTATACCACACCACCAAAAAACAAAAAGCAACAACAACAACAAAAACCCTTGCTATCAGGATGATAACCACTAACTTTTTCCCCTGCAGTGTGCAGAGTCATTGGCCAGGATTCAGGCCGGTCTGACCAACACAGCCAATAAGAGAGAACGAGTAAAGATTCTGCACAAGAAGAGTGAGTCACACATTCTGCCAATCTCTCAGCCCCTACACTTTAGATTATTGGCTTGTTGTATTTTTGTGAATATATATTTTTAACATTACTCTAAATTAGCAACTACTTTATACTGATGTGGTTATTCATATTATAATACCTTTATAAACTGATGTGTTTAGTAATGTGGCTACTGAAAATTAAAAACTTGAAAGGGCTCTAAATTTCTGTGACAACCTTTAACTTTCAAGACACCAAATGTTCTTGCAGAATTTTTTTCTTTATTTAGATTTTAGACTGAGTCTATTGAACTTTAAATCATGCTTATTGGTGTTGTGGTGCAGTTGAGGACCTCTTAAAGTACTTGGACCCTGAGTTCACAGACCACATCACTGTGCCTGATGCCATGAAGCTGGAGTTCATCCTTGCAGGTAAGAACTCTTAAAAGTTCAAATGAAAACTAATATTACTGAGGCATACACAGGCATTAACTTTAATGTCGATTGCTATATGTGCAAATTGTATTGGTATTAAATTTTTTATATATATTGTAAACAAGTAGAAGCTGAATCCATTTCTTGCTCTGTCTCTTTGCAGAGGAAGACTTCTTGCTTTCGCAGGCTGCTTTACTGGAACAGGTCAGCAACCTGCAGCCACTGCTGGACAGCACCTACATCAGAGGTGAGTTTCACTTTGTAGGACACATTAATACCCAACAAAACAATGTCTGTTTTGTTGTTTTATATTCCTGGCATCATTTTGGAGGGATCTTATGCTTAGTTTTGTTACCTACGTTTAGCCAGGGGTTTCAGCCTGTTTTAAATGGGTGATAGATGTGCCTATTGTAGTACTCAATGTTTTACCTCATCAGGTCTTGTTTTTTTGTTCACAGATGTACCAGAACATGCCACCAAGCTGCAGCGCTTATCACAGATTCACATCAAACAGCAGGTAGCCCTTTCTTTCTTTCACTTTCTTCCCCATCTACTCCTGTGGGTTTGTCTCTCACTAGGTTTTATGTGTAAATATTATTCTGTTTGTTTTACAGGACCAAAGTGAGGTTCAGTCACAGGAAGTTAAGAAGCTTTTTGAAGAATACAACAAAATGGTACACTTCAATTTTTAAATTCCAGTGATTATGAGAACAAAGCTATACATATATTCTTTGGGTAAACAAAATGTAATAATCAATCAAAAACATCTTAAACTTAATTAGCAAACTACCAAAGTTTTTTATCTATAGCTACTTTGGTCAGTCATGGAAAAATTCATAATACACAAGTTGTTGCTGAGATAAAGCTCCACCCACTGACAGCTGACCTCTTGATTGCCAGATGTTCCTGTTGTCCAAGCAGTTCACCCAGTGGGATGAGACCCTGAGAAAAATGGAAGAGGCCAAAGGAATCCGACCTGTGGAATAGTGATTGTCAGCATACGTTCAGATGACGAAAGTGGAAAAACACTGCACTGTGGTGGGAGTGTCAGATATGCGAGGCAACGGCATCACCACATTTCTTTCTTATTTTCTTTCTTTTTTTTAACATTTAATTTATTTGAATTAGGTGATATAACTTTGATAATCTAACCTGATGTAAGAAATCCTCAAAAGTGTAAGAAACAGTACATTAACAATTCCAGAAATAGTCACTGCAGATTGTAAAATATTGAAGGCAGGTTTGTCTTCCTGCTAATGCTGGTGGTTCCAAACTGACACTCATATTGGAAGAAAATGGGTTTCCTGTAACCGTTTATTTGTGGATGAATTCACTCCTATCATTAAAGTTGTAGTTGTTATGCTGTTTATTGTCAGACAAAAGTACTTTACTTGTAATGTATTCCTGTCCTCCTTACTGTAGGCATGTCACAAGACTTAAATTGCTCTTCCCCCAGTTCAAAAACACACACCTAGTTACTTCCCTCTGGATGCTTCTTGACATGACTTATAAAACCTTAAATTAGCTTCAGTATTTTTTCCAGTATTTGGTTTGAACAATTTCATTATATCTGATTTATCTTATAGCAAATAAATGTTGATAAATAAATATGACTTTTTGGGGGGATATTCAAAAGTGTTGCATGTTGTGTGTATATGAGTCTTACAACAGAATCTGGATCTGTTTAGGTCTGTTTGTGCATTCTGATGTTTTGTCAGTTTCTAATAGGTTACTCAGCCATTTTTCACATTTTCACAGAATAGATGAGATTGGAAACTTGGAAATAATTAACCACATCAAGAAGCAATATAATATTGTCACTGTATGTTTACTCCAAAACAACACTGAACACCTTAATACCTATGTGCTTTACAAATTGAAATGGCATGACTGACTGAACATTGACCAAGAATTATTTTTGCTGCTGTCTCATGTAAGGCCAGAAGTACAGCACTTTTTATTTTGTTCGTAACAGCTCAAAGAAAAGGTGAGACTATTTTTTACTCGTTGAATATTGCGCAGCATAGATCAAGGCACATAATATGTTGCTTACTAAAATTGAAAATTATGTTTCAGTTGGTTGGCTCCAGTGTTTTTATATGCTAATAGGTCAGTTATTCAGTTATAAGATCAGTCTCAAACCAAAAATTCATTTTGTTCCCTGAGTTCTGGCAAGAATGGCCCAAAGGAAGGTAGCTGCTAATTCTAATGAATATAGAAAGTATGAATTGGAATTTTATCAGGTATGTTATGCTATATATAATCAAAGGTTGAAAAGAGAGTGGCAGAAATGTAACTAAAGTTTTATGAATTATGTGTTTGTGGCAGCTAGATAGCATAGTGGGAACATTGGCTGTATCCCAATTCAGGGTCTGCAGTCTTAAAGCACGCAGCCTCAACGATCCTCAAGGGCCGCATACTCAAAGACCGCTAAGGCCGGAAGTGCGAGGCTTGTGAAATGGGACGGTCTAGCCTCTGTTGCGCTGCCCAGGTTGCCTAGCAACCATGACACTAACAGCTGGAAACGTTTCATACAGCTTTGTTTGACAGAAATGAAGGAGAAAATCTGTTGTTCATTTGTTTCTTTCTTTCTACATGAGCTTTGATCATTCTCTGTAAGATTAAGCTCAGCTATTGAACGGCGTATATTTTAAAGTAAAGGCTTTAAAACCAAGTTAGTACAAACGTCACTAATGTCACATAACTTTGCCGACATGTGGCCAACAGTAATGTTTTAATGTTCTGCGTTATTAAACATTTGCACATAAATAAGTGACATAATATTCAGTACTTAAAGTTTACTCTTCGGCCGCCCCTCATCCGCCGTTTTTTTTCCAAAATTATCCACACCCACCACCGCGCTATGCATTCTGGGATATGTTGGGCCACGAAGTCTACACTGCCACAGCCTTAAAATTCAGGGAAATGAAGGACGCATTTCAGGGCCGCATTTCGAGCAGCTGTGACGTAATCGGCCTTGAAATGCGTATTTTAAGGCTGCAGACCCTGAATTGGGATACAGCCCTAGTTTGCCTTTGGAAATTTAGGTTGGGGCTTTGACGTGTGTATCCAGTAAAGGTCCCCAAGCTAGGCATCCCATGCTACCCAAGCCTACCTTGGATATGTGCATGATATGTAATCCATCCCAGACCTCGGTCGCTTAACAAGGTCCGCGTCAGATATAGAGGAAGGGAGAATTCAATTCAATTTTATTTATATAGCGCCAAATCACAACAAAAGTCGCCTCAAGGCGCTTCATAGGTACAGAGAAAAACCCAACAATCATATGAACCCCTAACAGTATAGTGCAAGAAGCTGGCAGGCAGGCCATACATGGAACACCATAACCAAGTTGAAGGCTAGCTGGCTTTAGTGTGCAGGAATATCTGTGTCGACGTGTCTTTGAAGGATGTGGCTTTGGCCAGTAAATAGCCTATGAAGTGCTGCTCAGGTCACCAAGTAATCATCACACTAGCAGCTAGAAAAATTTTATACAGCATTGTTTGACAGAAATCAAGGTAAAAAAAAAAACGTATTACTTTCGCTGAGATCCTTTATTGTTATGTGATGTATCTGAAGCTGAGAGACTACGGACCGTAAAACATGACTTTTTTAACATTAGCTAGTAAATAACCGTTAGCTAATGCAGTTCATGAGACAAGTGTCACTCTAAAATGGACATTAAATTTAACATATCAATATCTGAAATATATTTATTTCAATATTTATAGCTGTAAAATTTAAACCAAATACTGAGCTTTACTTAAAATTCAAGGTGCATTTATTTCTGTATCAGAATCAGAATACTTTATTAATCCCGAAGGAAATTATGGGTTACAGCAGGCAGCACGCTAATGGCGCATGCGCACTTACAAAGGAACCTTCTGACCTGTTTGTTATCAGGGTGTTTTTGTTCGGCTGCAGCCTTGAGACCACAGCTGGTGCTGAAGTGGTAGCCGCATGAAATGATGGTGGTTTTTACTTTAGTACGAACAACTCATGTGCATTTCAAAGCTGTTCTAGCAGTCCGACACTTGTCTCTCAATCTCCTGTTGGAGAGCCGTGAGCTTCTCCATGATGTTATCAATCTTCCCAGATGGTAGTCGAAAAGGAGGCACAGGTGTGACGCCGTCTTCGTCTGGTCCTGCGGTTGCCACACCGCCGTCAGAGCCAGCTCGACCCGTTCCGCCTCGTTGCCGCCACTGCCACCCGCATGGCTGGCCACCTGATTTGTTTTGTCTGCGCCGCCATTGCCGCGTGCACAGTCGGCCCCCAGAACTGTTTCCCCGTCATGACCGTTGCCGTCTACATGGTCGACCCCCTGAACTTTTTCGTGGACTCGTGTTGAGATCCGCTCTGGTTTTGTTTGGGTCATTTCTGTATTCCTGGACTTTTGGTTTCTTGGACTGTTTCTAGGTCTCCAGTGTTTTTTGGTTTTTGACCCGTTTCCCTGACCTCCAGTGTTTGTGTTGCACTGTTTTTCTTGTGTTTATGAACTACTCTGGACTCATGCTCCTTGTTTTCTGTTTTTGTTTCGGTCCCTCCTTCCTGGACCCCCTCCGCCCTCCCTGGTTTGCTTATTTCATTATTTTTTTGGTATTTCATTTTTATCAATTAATTTTAATGTCAGCAGGTGGTATCACACTCAAACAGATTGAACAGTGGTAAATCCATGATTTAAATCTCCTGTTCCACCACATCCCAAAGGTGCCCTTGGTTTGGGATCTGGTGAATGTGGAGGTTGATGGAGTTCAGTTAAGTCATTGTGATGTTTAAGAACCCAGTTTGACATGATCACAGTTTTGTGATATGGTGCATCATCCTTCTGGAAGTAGTCATCAGAAGATGGGTACACAGTGGTCATAAACGGATGGACATGAATGGTGGAAGTTCGAGGAGAGAAGTAAGCAATTAACTAATAGGAGAAATTATGTTTAATGATCAAACCAAGTTAACTGATGAATCCCTGAGATTCTAAATCTGAATGTAATTTTTTTGCAATGATAGGGAAGATTAAAACACAATCACTTGTGGCTCATGATGTGTATTAAAGGGTTAAAAAAACACTGTAAAAGCACACAGACGGTATTATTTTTAGGGTAATTGGTTCTACAATAGAAAATGGTCTTATGCCATTAATTATGCCACAAAATATTTTTTTCATTGTAAATAGCTGTCTATACTTAGTGAGACTGTAGAACTTAAAGAAATAAACATATTTTTTATTTTTAGTAATTGCTCGTATTTACTGTTAAGATATACCGTTTTATCAAACAGTCTGAGCTTGTTAATATAAAAATAAATTCACGGGAATTTTCACAATAATTCTAACAATGTTTTGACATATTTTTAAAATTAAAAGCACTGTATGTTTTGAGTTATTAACATACAGTTGTAAATTGTAAATTCAAATAAAAAAGCTGGAAAGATTGTCATTCATACAGAATTATTATGCAAATTGTAGGGTGATTAATTGTAGATAATGTTAAAGATTTTTCCTGTTGTTTTCGAAGACAATGTGCCATATTACTGTAAATGTATATATTTTCAACATATTAGCAGTGTAAAAGTAAAAGGAAATCACCATTTGTCAATATACAGAAATTTAACATAAATATTACAATCATTTACTCTTTTTGATTTAATGGTAATTTACCGTTGCCATTTTACGGTTATTTGGGGTGATTTTTACGTACATTTCTTACTTTGTAGGGTTTATTTCTTGGATTTCGCACAACCCAGGAACAAATCATGAATACATAATGGGCTTGGATTTACGAAATTATGAATGAAATGTGCTCTATTTGGAAGCAGAGGGCGGGGCGGCGGGGGATTCTCTGGCTGGCTGGAGCAGAGTCTAATAACCAACTCGCAAAATAAAACAAAAATAAAACAAAATTAAAACAAACCAACAAACACGAAAACAGCAAACATTATGATACAGACTTATATCTGCACCGATGTTTTTTCGAAATTCTATACGCGAAAAGTGAGCACGAGAGCCCTCGGTGCGTCTGCGCTGCTGAAGTCAAAGTAAACTTTATTGTCATCTCCGCTACATACAGTCCAGTATATAGAGAGACGAGACGACGAGGCTCCAGTTACAGCAGTGCAAGTAAACGAACAATAAATATTTAAGAGTAAAAAAATGAATAGGCCTATACACTTTAGGACTAGGGGTAAAGGGATCAACAACAATTTAAAATGTATATTTTATATTTTGTTGATTTAAAGTCTCACAAACAACCTGTTTTTAAAGTTTAAAAAAAGAGAAAAGAAGAGGAGGAGTGTAGTTACTTCCTCAGTCGCTAGAGGCCGGGATTGAGCCTGCCTATTTGCCTGACGCGCTGTCAACTTTACGCAATAA